TTATCCAAAAACCCTACAAAAAAAAAAAAAAAAAAAAAAAAAAAGGACAAAAAGCATAATGTTATGGCTCCAATTCATTCTCTGCCAACTTCCCCAATATCTCTTTCACTGTCTCCCTGCATCTGCTTCCTTTGTCTATTATCCACTACATCGCCTTTGTGGAAGTTATTGGTTTCTTACCTATCTTTTTTTCTTGTCTATCTGTTTATCTATCTATCTATCCTCTCCATTACTGCTATGTCACCTGTCTATGACCAGTCAAGAATGAATCTCTTTACACCTTTATATTCCAATAACATAGGGGGTTTGGGAATTTTAACTTTTGAACATAGTGGAATGACTTTTTTTCCTGTCCTTATTATTGTTGTTGGTATATGAAGATTTGAGATCCAGTTCAGGGAGCAACTCACTGAAGAATGACAACTTTCCGTCAAGAAATAAAAAGAACCTCAGTCAACCCACACGATCACCTTTAGAAGAAAGTGTGGCTTCTACCAAGGCTCTCAAAACCACAGGCAAGGGCAGAACTAAAAGCTTAATGGAATCTTTAATTCGAGAGGATTCATTCTTGATGTAAAGGCTGGGGCGAGGGTGTGAAGAGACTAGGCTTGGATCCAATAATGGCCTTTAAGTCAAGGGTACTTAGCAGTATTATCTTAGTACATGTGGCCCTCTCATTTATAGTAAAGTGATTTCATGAACACCCTGTGCGCTGGGCTGAAGAGTTCTAATTTGGACTTTATTTATTTTTAATCAGCAATTGATTTATCACTGGCTATGAGTTTAGACCCACTGAGGTCAAATATAATTTGATGGAAGAGAAAGACATTTTCTCTTCCTTTACAAAATGGGTACTTTAAAAGTGATCTAGTTAGTGTGGAAATAGGACCTTAGAAAGAAAGAGTGGCAGGGAACAAAGAGAGAAGAGAAAATATTGCTAAGAATTAAGAAACTAAACTAAAAACATAAAAAAGAGATAGACCTACTATGTATTTTTCCCCTAAAAACTGATGACATTTGTCTTTACTCAGTTTTATTGATTTTATTGCAATTTTATATACACTCGACCTTTACTTCAAATTGCCTCATACTTGACTATAACTCAATATTTTCATTTATATTTTCCATCTCTAGACCTATACCTCCTATCTGTTTTTACCAGGTAACTAATAATACAGAATGAAGTTACACTGAAATATAAATAAATTGCCCTTCTATTTTTTTCTTTAGGAAGTTCTGAAATTAATCTCATAGGCAACATGAAATTACTGTGTACCTAAAAAATTGATTTTGATTGGATTTTAGGGAGTTATCATGAAAAAAGGGAGTTGTAAGCAAAATTTGAAGGAAATGATGACAAGTCAAGAAAGAAAAAGTAGGAGACGGTATAAAATACTATTTATAGCTACCAAGTTCATTTTTTAAATGGAAAGGAATAAAGAGACTTGACTATTGTCTTCTGTAACTCATGTCCCTGTAGTCTTAACTTAAAACGAAAGACGTTAATGGCCCGTCCTTGATTTATTTATCGTGTCCTTTAGATGAATGGTGCCTGCCCTGAAAGAGTGAATTAGTACACTGTGAACCTCATGGTACTTTTACTTCCAGGCGTTTTTTCCAGCCCGTGTCCCCCTGATTGGATCTTCCATGAGAAGAGTTGTTATCTTTTAAGCATGTCACTGGATTCCTGGACAGGAAGCAAAAGTCGATGTTCTCAGCTGGGCTCTAATCTCCTGAAGATAGACAGCGCAGAAGAACTGGTAAGTGTAGACTTAAGTTATAATTATAATTATCTGTGGTCTATACTGAGCAGGAAAATTGATGCAAAGTCCAGGCAAAGATAATTTTTCCTAAAAGAAAGTAATTTTCAATGTTCTCCATAATTATAATAATAGTATACCTAAGCAGGTAAAATATATGACATGGACTTTTACTTTACTATTAAAAAAACATGTTTGGGGACCAGCGGATGGTATAATGGTTACGTTGCTGCACTCACACATAGTTGACCATGGTTTGCATCCTGGACCTGGTGGCTTAAGACCATGCCAGGCATGCATGCATGTCTGCCCAAAATCCTGACAGGAGAATGGAGGAGAAGGGATTGCAACATTGGGCATCCCCCTGGGGGGTAGTTTCTTGCCTTCTGTCTCTCTGTCTCTTTCTCTCTGGCAAGCACACATGCCCTACAGCAAAAATCTCTCTTAAAAAAAAGTTTCATCTTAAAACAAAGTCTTTCAGGTACACTTTATCCTTGCATGACCACAATAATCAGGCCACTACTCATTTTGTGATATTTCAATTATTAAATTTGATCAAGTAAAATAGAAAAGGATCTCTCTAGTTATTATAATTATAAAAAAAAAGTAGTAATAATAATATACATTTACAGTCACTTAGTCTGAAATATAATGAGAAAGACAAAGGGATTTAAAAGGTTGACTTGCTATTTCAGGGCCATATAACTTGTTTTTAAAAGAAGAAATAACTCAGGCACTGTTAAAACTGAAATATCTGATATTGACAATAAATGCCATAGGAATTTAAAGAGATCTCTGTGGATATAAGAAGTTTTACAGAAAAATGAGAACTGAAAATACAATATAAGGCTTAGACTCAGATGAATTATGAGAAAGGGTTAATAAGAAAGATTCTACACTGTAAGTGTAGACTAATTGTAACTTTTACATCTACTTTCACTACTGTTAACTTTGAGTTTCTTTTTTTTAAATATTTATACATTTAATCACTGTGCATCATTTAGATTGTTTAATGTCTTTTTCTTTCTTTTTTTTTTTTTTTAAAGGTTTTTGCCATAGGGCATGTGCACTCACCAGGACAGAGAGAAACAGTGTGAGGGAAAGTGAGAAATCACCCCCAGGGGCATGGCAATGCTGATCCCTTCTCTTTCACCCTCCTCCTGGGATTTTGGGCATGCACACACATACACCTGGCGTGATTTTCAAGTTGCCTGGTCTGGGACTCAAACAGCGGTCTGCCAGGTGTAAGTCTAACACCATAACTACTATGCCACCTGCTGGCCCCAGTTTCTTTAATGTCTTACTTAATAGTAGTTCTTTTTTTTTTTTTTTTAATAGAGATTTTTGCTATAGGGCATGCGTGCTCACTGGAGAGACAAGAGAGACACAGAGGGACAGAAAGTGAGAAACCATCCCCCAGGGGGCATGACCATGCCACAATTCTTTCTCCTCCATTCTCCTCTTGGAATCTTGGGGATGCACACACACGCGTCCAGCATGAGTTTTAAGCTGCTGAGTCCAGGTCTCGAACCCTGATCGACTACGTGGGAGTCCAGCAACATAACCATTATGCCATCTGCTGGCCTCAGTAGTAGTAGTTTATCCTAAAATTAATGAAGGTAGATATGTCACAAAGGAAAAGCATTGGACTGGAAGTCCGTCTGGCTTTCGGACTAGCATATAAATTGGCCATAAATTGTTCCACATTTGTCAATACTTCCAAATAACTTCACTGAACCAGAGATTACTTATTTATAAAGCATACAATGGGACTAAATTTTTTTTTTAAGAGAGATTTTTGCTAGAGGGTGCCTGTGCTCACTGGAGAGAGAGTGATAGAGAGACAGAAAGCGAGGAACCCCCCCCCCCCCAGTGGGCTATGACCATGCCATAATCGCTTCTCCATTTTCCTCTTGGAATCTTGGGCAAACATTCACATGTGCCCAGCATGAGTTTAAAGTAGCTAGATCAAGACTCAAACTGCGTGGGACTCAAACCCCAGTCGGCTATGAGGAAGTCCAGCGACATAACCATTATGCTATCTGCTGGTCCCAGGACTAAATAATTTTTCTGTTTCTAGACAACTCTGAGTATCATTTTCAACAAAGCTAGTATCAATTCATATTTTCAATTTAAGGAGGAGTTAGTGGCCTATCATTTATGAAAATGCCTCAAGGGTCTTCCATCCTTGGATTGTGTAACATTGATTGGAGGCAATACAATCTTTTCTCTTTTTCTTTTCTTTTGTATGAGATAGTTACTAGTCTAGTTTTAATGTGTATCCATAGGACTAATACTTATATGGAGTATAATGTCGAAAAGTGCATAAAGAAAGAACTATAATGAAAACAAAAGTGCACGTTTCTTAGGATTTAAAAATATTGCATATAATGAGGTTCCACAGAAATTACTGGCTGGTTTTACAAACAGAATGAGATATTAGTCAATCTCTAGATAAAGATGAATGCAAAGAAGAGGAACCATACACATAAACAGAAAACATAAATCCATATTAAGACCCAGAATGCCAGCAATTAAGAAAGACATGTGAAAAGATATGTAAATAGCTATAATTTTAACACTATGAAATCATTTCCATTACCTCAGTTCTACTGTAGAAAGTCAAGGTTCTATGATAAATATCAAACCATCCCTTTCTAAAGTTTCAGTGATAATAAACCAAGACATTGTTCTTTTCTGAATGACTCAGTTACACAGTTTTGTGTACATTTAGCAATCCAAGTCATAGATGCTGCAGAGCATGCAATTTTATTCTATATGTTCTTTTTTTTTTTTTGAGAGATTTTTGCATTAGGGCATGTGCACTCACCAGACAAACAGAGACAGAGAGTCAGAAAGTAAGAAATCACTTCCTGGAAAGATGGCTACACCGCAAGCCCTTCTCCTCCATTCTCCTTATGGGATTTTGTGCATGCACACACACATCCAATATGAGTTTTAAGCCACCGGGTCTGGGACTTGAACCTCCATCAACTATATGGGAGTCCAGTGACGTAACCATTAATGCCATCTGCTGGTCCCTAGAGTATGCAATTTTAAGTTAGCAGAGGTTTCACTGCAAAACTCATTCAACTTTTAAAGCTCAATCTTTGAATATGTATCAGGCAAACTCAATCTTTGTTGGTACTTAAACTAGCCTCATTAATGAGCCCAAGGGCAGGGAGAGAAATTATGCAGAACTGTATTTCTTTTAAAAGAAGGAGACAGTACAATGTTAACATTATGCGTATTCTTTATTAGAAAATTAAACAATAATGACTAAGGAAATGAAATATGCCTTTTGAGACATTTAATGGTGTTCAAGAACTGGTACTCTCTCCAGGCTGTCATCAGCTTACAGCAAAGTGATTCAATCAGTTGTCTTTTTCTCAATGCCCGTATTATATAATGTCCACATATAACATCATCTTTCTCTCTCTGTATATTTCTCCCTGAAGTGAGTTTGTATTTCTGTCTCACTACAGACATTTATAGGAAGGCAAGTGTCTTCCCATCCTGATAACTCATTTTGGATAGGACTTTCTCGCACTCAGACTGAGCAACCATGGCTCTGGGAGGATGGATCGACATCCTCTTCTAACTTGTAAGTATCTGGAGAGACAAAGCTTTGTCCTCTTTCAGAGAGATGAAAGCATGTCAAGCACTTAGACACATGATTTTCTGGCCATATATCCAGGAGACTTCAGAAAGTTTATGGCAAAATTAAAGTACGAGTATATTTTGGTGCCAAAATATTTTGGAAACCACACATAGCTTTTTCCAGACCTACATTTTTCCCTGAATTCTTTTTTCTTTTTTTTTTGGAGAGGTTTTCGCTATAGGGCGTGTGCGCTCGCCAGACAGAGAGAGACATAGAGACAGAAAGTGAGAAATCACCCCCCAGAGGGGATGGTCACGCCACAGTCCCTTCTCCTCCATTCTCCTCTCGGGATCTTGGGCACGCATGCACACACCCCCACGTGAGTTTTAAGCCACGGGGTCCGGAAAGCAAACCGCGGTCGACTACGTGGGAGTCCAGCGACATAGCCATTACGCTAACTACTGGTTCCCTTTCCCTGAATTCTTTTGAAGACCCCTTGTATGAGCAACAGGAAAAGATACACAGTGATTGGGGGAGAGAAAGAATAAGTTAGAAAGAAGAAAGAAGAGGAGAAGGAGTGAAGGGAGATGACTTCAGGGTCAAAAGAAGCTGAGAGAGCCTCTAGGGCTATCACCCTTGCATTCTTACCAGGAGGGCTTCTGACAACTGTTTGAAGATGTCCAGTCAAGAAGCCATCACTGCTTTTCAGTGTAACACTGTGGTTAAGAGTTACGCACTTTGAAGCTAGGCCTAGCTTGAGTGAATGATTAGCTCACTCACTGATTACAGGAATTGGGTCAATCACTTTATGTCTCTGAATCCCACTTTCCTTGTGTTTAAGTGAGAACAGAAACATATCCCTCTCTTAAGATTCTAAGATAAAGGGTATAAAAGTAAAATTGTTTAGCACAGTGTCTTGCACATAGTTAATGTGTGATACGTACTATTATTTATTTATTTATTTATTTATTCATTTTTTAATTTCAATTTGACCAGAGAGGGGGAGAGAGAGAGAGAAAACAAGCCACCAGGTCCGGGACTCGAACTGTGGTAGGCCATGTGAGAATCCAACATCTTTAACCACCAAGCCACCTGCTGGCCCCCTGTACTATTATCATTAAGTTAAAAAGCAACCATGTTTCACATTGTTTAAAGGTTTTAAAACCTATTTCACATTTGCATAATTGTAAACTCTTCCTCATTGTGTGACAATTCGCTGCAATTGTCATTTTTTTATATCTAAAAAATGTGAATTAATATTCCCTTTTTTCTGTTATTGCTATTTATACTTGTATGTGTCTGTGCACATATGTGTTTTTGTCTGTTTTTTTTTCATTCTATCCATCTTAGTAGGTGTATTGTTCAATTTAATTAGTCTTCTTAAAAAAACTAAGTTTTGATTTTGTTGATTCTTTCTCTTTTTTTTATTAACTTAGACTCTCATCTTTATTATTTCTTTCTATCCAATTTCTATGTGTTGAATTTGCTTATATATCTAGTTATTGTATTGAATGCTTGGCTCACAAAATTCACCCTTTCCATTCTCAGGTATGTGTAGTTGAGCCAATATAAATATATTTTTATTGCCGTTCAGTTTAAAAAATATTTATTTATTTATTTCATTCTAACATTAGAATGAAATGTTAGAGAAATGAAATGTTGAGAGAGAGAGAGAGAGAAAGAGAGAGAAACAGGCAGCCCCAGTGGCCCTTCATGCCATAATTCACCTCTGTCTCAACCATCCCGGACCATGGTCATGTACACACATGTCTGGCATGAACAGGGAGGTCCAGGACCTTCCCTCATGGGTTGAGATGTGTTAAACTGTGCCACCGTCTGGTTCTAACTTTAAAATCCAGTCTGATTTCCATTATGAGTTGTTCTGGGACCCATGTGTTATTTAGAAACGTATTTCCTAATTTACAAACATATGAGGGGTCTTCCAAAGGGTCATGGAAGATGCATATTCTAGAAAAACTATGCATAGATATCAAACTTTTTTGGTACCAAAATAAGCTGTACTTTAATTCCAGTTTTCCATGAGCTATTTGAAGTCCCCTCATAGCTTTGCTTCTAGTTATCCCCCGTGTTAAGTGTCAGGCTAGTTCCACGTGATCAGAGCACTTACACTGTATGATGGCAGTTCTTTGATTTGTATGTTCTTCCCATACTAAGAACACTGTGCTCAGCACTCCACTGTGATTTTACCTACAGTTCTATACAGATTCGTTATGATGTGTTGAAGCCATGTTATTAGACACACATGGACTCATAATTGTTGTATCTTCTCATTCAATGTTACTTTTATTTTTCCTTTTATTATACTTTAAACGCACTTTTTATTAACTACGCTTTTTCTGTAACTTTGAAATTTGCTCTTTTAATACTCTTTTAGTAGTTTCGCTGGAGATCATTATATGTATTCTTCACACATCAAAGTCTAATATTAAACTGGCATTGCTTTTAAAAATCTTAATCTTATTTATGAGGTCTGACAGTGTGTGTGCACATGGGAGAGAGAGAAAAACACCCACAGCAGGGTGTTGTCACACTGTAATACCCTTTTCCCAGCCTTCCAGCTCATAAGGATCTTAAGCGCCTATGCATCCAGTGTGTTTTTAGGTTAACTTTGGACTCAAACCATAGTCTGCCATGTGGCTTCCAGCATTACGGTTCAGTACAATACCACTTGTGCCACTGAAGTGGGCCATAACTGCCATTTTTATGTTCTTCCTGACCAAAATAAAAATTGGAGAACATTCCTTTGTTCAATTTACTTCCTCCCCACGTATTTTTTATCTGTAGAAGCATTATATTTCTTACAATTGATGTATTTTAATTTTATTTTTAAATTGAGTCTCTCTGTTATGCTTTTCTTTCTTTCTTTTTTTTTTTTTTTGAGAGATTTTTGCTATATGCACTCATCACTGAGACAGCGAGAGACAGAGAGACAGAAAGCAAGAAATCACTGCCCCCCCCCCCACCAGGGTGTATGGCCATGTTGTAATCCTTTCTCCTTTATTCTCCTCTCTGGATTTTGAGCATGCATGCATGCACACGTGCCTGGCTTGAGTTTGAAGCCACCAGGTCCAGGACTTGAACTATGAGAGTCCAGCGACGTAATCATTTTCAAGGTGCCGGGTCTGGGACTCAAACTGTGGTCAGCTGTGTGAGAACCCACCACCTCAACCACCATACCACCTTTTGGCCCTTAATGGCGCTTTTTTTTTTTTTGGAGAGGTTTTTGCTATAGGGCACGTGCGCTCGCCAGACAGACAGAGAGAGACAGAGAGACAGAAAGCGAGAAATCACCCCCCAGGGGGGATGGCCATGCCACAATCCCTTCTCTTCCATTCTCCTCTCGGGATCTTGGGCACTCACACACATGCGCCCGGCGTGAGTTTTAAGCCACTGGGTCCGGGACTTGAACTGCGGTCGACTACGTGGGAGTCCAGCGACATAGCCATTATGCTAACTGCTGGTCCCCGGCCCTTGATGGCTTTTTATAATCACTGTAGACCTGGACTAAATTTGAGCTCCCTCAAGAATGTTTGCTTCCCCCAGTCCACAAAAGGCACCACAGACTTGACACTTTAAATGAAAACTCTCCCAGTTATTATAGAGTACTGGTAATACTGACTCAGGCAGAAGAATTTACCTTCTGAGTTCCAGCTTGTGGTGCCACTTCTCAGGGATTATTAGACTTTTCCTCCTATCTGCCACCTGGTGGCACGTTTGAGATGTACATATTTCCTTTTTCTTTGCAGTTTGGCATTTTTATTTTTTATTTACTCTGCTGCAAAATAGCCCTTTGTTTTTCAGCCTGTGTCGTGTCTTGGATTAAATTTCCCATCTTAGATTAATATTATTTCACAGTATTAAACTAAATAAATGTTACACATTAGGATTAATGGCAACTTATATTCAGTAAAAATATGGGCCTTGAAAAGCCTTAGCTGTATATAGATTTATGTATCGGTGTTCAGTTAGATTTACCCATATAGTTTTTTTCATAGTTTTTATTGTTTATTTCTGTCTATCTCTCCTTTCTTACATTTTTGAGTCAACTGAAGGGTATCATAGTAATTTCTGTAGAGTGAGTCCTATTGGAATTTAATTATCTGTGTTTGTCTAAAATTGTCATGTGAACTTTTGTGAAAATATTTTTATTGAATAGAGTTTGTGTTTTCTTTCTCTTAGGCATTTAAAGGTATTATTCCACTGTTCACTAGTTCTGCTTTTGTTTTTGATAGGTCATATGTTTGAAGGTAATATTTGTTTTAAATTCTTTTTAACATTAGAAAATTATCAGCCATACTTGTTTCAAATTATGCTTCCTCCACATTGCTCTTCCCCTCCTCTGGGAATCCACTTATCACTAAAGACTCATTATACTATCCCATGTTTCTTTTGCCTTTTCTTGCATTTTCATTCATTTTTCTCTTTTTAAAATTCTATGTATTTATTTACGTATCTTCTGGTATATCTGTTTTCCCTCATTTGTGGCTAATCAGCTGTTCAAAGCCACTGATGTTTTTAATGTGGTTCAGTGAAATTTTCAGTTCTATAATTTTATCTTGATTATATCTCAAATCTATCTTATCATCATTTATAATTATCATTTTCTTCTAACATTCACAGCATTGTCTTTTAATTCCTGGAATACACTAAACATAGTTGTTTTAACATTTGTCTTATACTCGCAAGTATCTGCTTCTGTTATATTTTCTCCTGTTTTTTATTTGTGTTTATTTGTTTTCTTATATGACTGATTATTTTTGATTATGTATTTGACATTGCATATTTTAAAAAGAATTATTAATTATTATTATTGTCATTATTTAATTTGACCACAGAAAGATAGAGAAAGAAAGGGAAAGTGACAAAGCCCACCTTCAGGTCCAGGACTTGAACCATGGTTGACCATGTGGGAGTCACCTTTAACCACCACTGCCACCTGCCAGTTTTGACATTGCGTTTTAAACTGTTTGTGGAATTAATGTGACATTTAGAGATGGCTTTCCATTTGCTACTGGCAGGTGCCCCTGGGTTTGAGTAGCACAAACCACTAAGATCACATTTTGATTTTTGTACCACTTAACTATTTTCCTTCTACCAGGCTGAGCATGGTGAATTTATTAATAATCTACAAAATATATTTTCTACTTTTCCATAGTGTTCATCTTGCATTTTTCTTTTTCTAACTTAAACATATGCTTAGAGAACTAATGATCTCAAATGAATACTTTGATATGTTCCCACTCCTTCATTTCCTGGGTAGCAATAACTTAATATAGCTATCTTCATACTCCAAAACACTTCGGTGTCAAGAAAAACACTTTTTAAAAATTGCCAGAAGGTTCATGAGCTTGCCAGAGAGATGAAGAGAGAGAGAAAGGGAGAGCGAGAAAGTTCCCCTCACTGCGACATGGTAATACGGCAATTCATTTTCCTTTATTTCTCCATTCTGTTGAGATTTGGAGCAAGCACACACATGTGCCCTGCATGTCTTCAAACAGTTGGGGCTGGGATTCCAACTGCAGATATACCTCCCTTAGTCACTAATCTCCTGAGCAGGCCAACCCAAGAAAAATTTTTAAAGAATGCTCATCAGATTTCTCCCTGAGGCCTGGATCAAAGCAGTTGATCTTAGCCTTAGTCATTTCTAGAGCAGAATTCTCTCAATCCTGTAATCTCAGAGACAGAAAAAAGAAATAGACATCCAAGATGAAGAGTATCAGAACATAGCTTTTACACTGAGGTCCAGTGACTGTCTTTGAGCTCGACTAATTAACACTGCTTTTATTTAAAAAAGAATTTATTTATTTTATTAATTATTATTATTTTTTCATCTGACCAGAGAGAGAGAGAGGGAAAGGGGGAAAGCAAGCTGCCGGTCTGGGACTCAAACCTCAATCAGTCATGTGGGAGTCCAGCATCTTAACCACTGCACCACCAACCACAGTTCCATTAACACTTGTCTTTTCAAGAGACTGAGGAGCAAATAGAATGGGCCATGCTTCCATTACCAATGCTAACAATTTCCAGAGTTGTAGTCACAATTATCATATGTAATTCTGCTTTCAGGATATAAAGTTGTTTGCCTGGCCTTTCAATTGGCCTTAGAATCTATTTCTTCACTGAGTTCTGTTCCCTTTCAGATTTAACTCTTTTGCTTGGTCTGCTCACTAAATATATCCAATAGCCAAATCACTGAACTGTTACTCGATTTGATAAACAAACATCTAAGTAATATGCTAGAAGAGAAGTAAAGAACTTTTTAAAAATATTAAACATTTTCCTTCCTTATCAGGAGTTGTGTTTAATTTTGTGCAAATAGCAGTATTTCTTGAAGAAAATTGAGTGATTTTTCAGTCTTGATAGTAAAGACTGTTCTGGTACTACTTAGGAATCAATACAATCTAAATTCCAGGTTTCTTATAATAGAGACACTTCAGAATTCTTTTCATCAATAATTTATTTCAGCTCCATCTAGACAGGGATCCTTAATGTTTGTTCTAATTATTTCATTGTTTTTCTTCTAACAGGTTTGAAATTAGAAGCACAGCAATCCAGGAAAACTTACCTCACAATTGTGTATGGATTCACAACTCAGTTGTTTTTGACCAGCTCTGTACTACGCTCTCATACAGTATTTGTGAGAAGCCATCAGTGTAAAGGCAGGATGGAAGAGGAGAGAGGAGCATGGGAAATAGTAAGACAGGGCAGACAATGGAATGAAAAGACCGAAATTTGAAGTCAAAGTAAAGCTACAAATACTAGAGCTCGGCAAACTTTCATCTTAGCTGAGAAGCAGGACGGAGAGGCCGTGATTTCTGTACTTGTCAACCCTGTAGGTAGGCCGGTATTACGTTCTCGTAAACAGCCCTGATTGTGCAGTCTGGGCAACTAAGCTTGAATTTTCATCTTACCATTGACTTAGTATATACCTGGGACAAACCAGAAGTCTTCAGGGCATCAAAGGAATCAACTTTTTGCTCTACCTGCGTTGTTTTTTGTCTTCAGAAAGTGCCACTGGGGATATGCACTGTTGTTTACACGATTTGTTCTCTTTCATCTGGTACCAGTATAACGCACAAGTGGGAGGCAAAATGCATTACCAGGTATCTAAATGAAGAAGTGAAAAAAAGGTTTACTACAGTCAGAGCTAGTTTATAATTTTCATAAATATGTTTACAATTATTATTGACATCATTGAAGAACAACTACTCCAACTTTTTTGTTCTCGATGCCACAGTCCTCCAGCCTCTATAGGTTTTTGCCATAGGGCGGGTGCCACCATGCCCGGTAAACTTTTTTGTTCTCAATAGCCCTGAGCTATGTGCTATATTTCTGATTCATGGAATCCTATATAATGTGGATTGTAGATAATGGCTCTTACAGGAAAGCTTTTCTCTTTCTAAATACTATCTATCAAAAACTATGGGACCAGCAGTTAGCATAATGGCTATGTCACTGGACTCCCATGTAGTCGACCACGGTTCGCGTTCCGGACCCGGTGGCTTAAACTCACGCCAGGCGCGTGTGCGTGCGTGCCCAAGATCCAGAGAGGAGAATGGAGGAGAAGGGATTGCAGCGTGGCCATCCCCCCTGGGGGGGTGATTTCTTACTTTCTATCTCTCTGTCTGTCTCTCTCTGTCTGTCTGGCAAGTGCTTGCGCCCTATAGCAAAAACCTCTTAGAAAAAAGAAAAAAAAATAGATAAACTCTGATAATCTGTATAAAAAGTAATCAGCCTCATTAGCAGAGGTACTACATTTTGGGCATATAAAATGTGTTTTCTTTTCACTGAAAGATTATTTGCTTCATTATTCATCCTTTTAAAAGTTGTATATACTATTTGATTTATGAAAAATTAGCCAAACATAAATCTTTCAAACTAATGAAAATTATAAAGTATCAGAGTCAGCCAAGGAGGTGTAGGTATTAGGACACCAATGCAAGATCCTGGAGCTATATGGAAAGGCTTGGGATTTGGGTTCTGGGTTACTTAAACAAGTGGGTCACACCTGACCTGAGGCCATGCCTGTGACCCAGGCCAATTGAAGGCAGGGACTGTGAGGAATTGTGGCTAAAGGATCCTAAGGCCTCATTGGGGGTTTTTGTATCCTTTCCTTTCTTGTTCAATAAATAAATAAACTTTAAAAAATGCATCATAGTATTTAATTTTTACATTGCCTATGGCAATGTAAAAATGTGTTCATATCAATTTTTTTCTATTGTGAACTAAATTAATAGCTGATTTTTTATAAAAAAATTTTTTGGAGAAGTTTTTTTGCTATAGGGTGCATGTGCTCACCAGAAAGACAGAGAAAGACAGAGAGAAAGAAAGCGAGAAATCATCCCCCAGGGGAGATGGCCACGCCACAATCTCTTCTCTTCCATTCTCCTCTCGGGATCTTGGGCACGCATGCACATATGCCGAGTGTGAGTATAAGCCACTGGGTCTGGGACTCAAACTGCAGTCGACTAAATGGGAGTCCAGCGACATAGCCATTACGCCACTGGTCTCTGTATAAAAACTAGTATGTGATCTTGGCAGCATTTTACCCTCTAATTACTAAAGATTCTGTTATTGCCAGAGCAAAACCAATGTACTTTAAAAATTGATATCTTTTGAGCCAGCTAGATGGCATGGTGATTAAGACAGCTGGATCACACATGGTTGACTATGTGGTTCAAGTCCTGGATCTAGCAACTCAGAAAACCACGCCAGGCATGTGTGCGTTAGTGTCCATAATTCCGAGAATGGAGAAGAAATTGTAGCAGGGCCATCTCTCATAGGGAGTACTTCTCACTTTCTGTTTCCCTCTACCCACCCTCTCTGTGAGTGCATGTACCCTATAGCAAAAAGAAAACAAAACAAAAAAATGATGCCTTTTGATGAACTATTTCAAAAGTTTCTATTTAAAAATGAATTCTATGGGCTGACTTGGTGGCGTAGATATTAAAGGAACCAAATCCCATATGACCGACGGTGGTTTGATTCCTAGTCCCTGCAGTTGAAAAACACACTGGGCTTGAGTGTGTGTGCCCCAAATCCCGACAGGATGGATAAACAGAAATAGATGGGACCAGCAGTTAGCGTAATGGCTGTATCGCTGGACTCCCATGTAGTTGACCATGGTTTGAGTCACCGACCTGGTGGCTTAAACTCATGTCGTGTGTGTGTGTGTGTGTGTGTGTGTGTGTGTGTGTGCATGCCCAAGATCCCAAGACGAGAATGGAGGAGAAGGTATTGCAGCATGCCATCCCACCTGGGGAGTGATTTCTCGCTTTCTGTCTCTCTGTCTCTGGCAAGCACATGCGCCCTATAGCAAAAACCTCTCCAAAAAGAAAAAAAGAAACAGGTTAGGGCGTGGTCATGCCTATTGGAGGTGCTTTGTTCTCTCTGTTTCTCTGACTTTCTCTGGCCAGTGTATGCGCCCTCTGACACCTAAAATAAAACAGAATTATGTTTTAGTTCTTCAATTCATCTTGCTATCTGACTGCTTGCTTCTTTAATACCGCTTACATAGAAAAGACACTGTTCTAGTTATTGCTGATGTGCAGCAATGCTTATGACAAATGAAGACGTGGTGTTTGCTAATTGAATAAAGTTACTTTGCAAGTATCCATTTAATTTCTATGTTTGAGGTTTTTTTTTTTTTAATTTAGAAGGAGACTAAAATGCTTTTCCCTACTGGGGTAAAAATGATATTTTAAAAAGTATAGTTTCTTCAAAATAGTTTATATATTGTATTTTAAAATGTTTTCCTGTTGTGGGACCAACAGTTAGCGTAATGGACTCCCACGTAGTTGACCATGGTTCAAGTCCCAGACCTAGTAGCTTAAAAAATAAATGATTTCCTGTTGTTTCCTGAGAAAGATATATGTTTTTTTTTTTTTTGACTTACTGTTTTGCAAGTTTCTGCAATTTCTCAGTAATTACTGTAAAAAGGTATTATTGGGATGTAATTGTGTACAGTCATATGATGATTTGTGTCATTTAAAAAAGACGTTTTCCAACTGGTGCTTTTTAAAAATTTCTAGTGAGGATTTCTATATTAGAGAGGCATTAACAGCCCTTTCTTTTATTTGTAAAAAGTGGCACAAATCACATTGCCAAGATTAATTAATAGGTGAACAGAAATGGTGCCAAGTTTACCTAATTGTTCACTTTACAATGGTTAATTTTGTGCTATGTGAAGTTAACCTAAATGAAAAAAGTGCTTTATCAAAGAACTTTTAGCCTCCAAATTATGCGCCTGGGTATAACAATCTTTATGTACCCCAAAATGATAATAAATTTGTTACTAGAGAGTGTGTGTGTGTGTGTGTGTGTGTGTGTGTAGTTTTATATCAAAGAATAAATTTTTGGATATTAAAGATTTTTTTTAAAATCTAAGAGAATAAGAAGATAGAGATTTTCCTGAAGTTGTTAATTGTCATTTAACATGCAAATGTGTTGTTACTTTCTTTTTTTAAATTTTATTTATTATTATTTTAAAATTTGCTATAGGGCACATGCACGCATGAGAGAGAGAGAGAGAGAGGAGAAAGAGAGAGAAAAAGAGAGAGAAAGTTAAGAAGCAAACTGACAGGTTCAGGACTTGAACCATAGTCAACTATGTAGGAGTCCAGTGCCTTAACCACCACACCACCTGCCAGTCCCATGTGTTATTACTTTAAAAAAATATAGAGAGGGCAAAGATAATTCAGTCTGAGAGTATGAAGAATACGGGTCACTCGTTTAAACAGTGAATTAAGGTACCAGAAGGGGTTTGAGGAGATGCTAACAATTTTAATCTTGTTTCTGGTTTGACTGATTCCTTCTGTGTCCCCAGGCTGGGATGAATGAGTCCAAGAAATTATAATAATTAAGGAAGCTAATTCTGGATGTGGAAATCAAGATGTCCAGGACAGGCTAGGTCAGCAGGGACCAGCCTCATGGAAGAAAATCCCTCCAGGGATGAGACATGGTGGGGGGTTGGTCCTGGGATAACCCAAGCACACCACATCCACTGTGCACCCCATTTATACCACGACCACACTGCAATGGGTTTTGAGCTGCCGGGTCTGGGACTTGAACCACAGTGAACTACATGGGAGTCCAGCAGTGTCACCATTATGCCATCTGCTGGCCCCACAGATTTTTAATAGTCTATTGTTTGGCTTCATTCTCATGTGCACTTCAGTTACCTCTGCCTTTGAAACTTGTATTGACTTTGTCTGTCTTATACCACTCTCTAACATTCAACCCAATGAAAGTACGCAGATACTTTTTGATTTTTAGATTTTTCTACCTTTTACACAGCACTATGTGGGAGGGAGGTCTCTGAAGGTTTTTGTCTTATTTAGAATAATTCATGGCCAGCCGAGTAGTGCAGTGTTTAAGCACTGTGCATTGGGAGCCAGATCCCACATGGCTGACCACAGTTTGAATCCTGGGCCCAACAACTTGAAAAGCATGACAGTCACACGTGTGCATGCCTAGAATACTGATGGGATGAGGAAATGGAGGAGAAAGAATTGTGACATGACCACGTCTCACTGAAGGAGGGGTGCTTTCTTTCCCTTTGTCTCTCCTTTTCTGTCTCTGACAAATGATGCGCCATTTAGCAGAAAAGAAAGAAAGAAATGAACGAAAAACAATGGATTCATTAAAGAAAAGAAGTATCTGACCATGAACACACAGCTTGAAAATGTATGAGTTCACACTGCTTCCTGATAGATCTCCTGTAGGTCTAGATTCCTCAACGTAAGAATATTCCACACTTTTTAATTATTTATCATGGTCACTTAGTCCAGCTGTCATAGGATCTAGAAAAGTTTCAGTAGAATAATGTAATTCTAATGTAATTCAGGAAGAATTTTTGGATATTATCTTAGTTTAGGAAATTTAGGCACAAACTGGTAATTGGCATCCCCAAACAGTAAGGTGGTAAGTAATAACCATCTCCGTATGGTTTAAACTTGTCTTCTCTGAAAAGCAGTGTGTCAATGTGATAGTATTAAGCAACCGTTAGGCCATGAGTCCTTCCCTCTCCTGGAAGGGATCAAGTTCCTCATAAAGGAGGCTTCACAGTGTGCTCAGCTGGCTTGTTCTGCCTTCTGCCATGTGAGAATTCAGCATTCTTCTCCAGAGGATACAGCCCTCACTGGACAACCAGATCTTGTATTTCCCAGCCTCCAGAACTGTGAGAAATTTCTATGGTTTGTAAATTACCCAGTCTCAGGTATTTTTATTGCAGCAGCACAAACAGACTAAGACAAGTAATATAATTCTATTGTACTAATTCAGGAAGAATTTTTGGGCATAACTTAGAACGATCCTCTCTTTTTTTCTTCTTCTTCTTCTTCTTCTTCTTTTTTTTTTAATTTAGAAAATTTAGGCACAAATCGTTCACTGGCTCGCTAAAGCCCATGAGGGTTAGTAATCTTTCTAAAAGGCCTGGCTCTCAGTAAAATGTAAAATTCCTATGATCATGACATGCCAACCTTGCTATAAAAGTAAATCAAGTCCAAATATTGGAAGAAGAACGCTCGCTGAGTTGACAACAGAGAGCACATTTAAAGCTAATCTCTCACTAACCAGTTTTGTGACTTTGAACTAATCACTTCTCCTGGTTGGGCTTTCATTTCCCTTTTTATCAAGTGAGAGTAAAATCAATTAGATGCTCAGGCTGGCAGGTGGTGTGGTGGTTGGGGATTGGACTCTCACATACACAACCATGGTTCGAGTTCCAGACTTGGCTTGCTTCTCACTCTCCACCCCCGCCTGGTCAAATTAAAAAAAAAAATTAAATTAAAGAATAATTTTAAAAATCAATGAGATGTTGTAAGACGGCTTCTTTGTGCTGACCTGCCATGTGGGTGATGCTTTACTCTATGTCCTTAGAGGAGGGAAGAGGTTAGAGGACATAACTCCTCCCTTACACAGAGACACAGAGAGGATAAATTAACCCAAGTGACTCAGTCAGTGTATAACGAGTAAGAAACTGGGTGACATGCCTCCTTGACGCATAATCATTCTGCAGAGTCTGAAGGAACCCTGTTATGGTAAGGTCTTGTCTTCCTTTTTTTCTTTTTTTTCTTTTTGACCTTGCCTTCTTTATACCATAGTTACATAAGAAATGCAAAGATAAACAACAGAGGTCTGGGAAGGGCTGCGTTTCAATCATTGTTCAGACAAACGGCCCGAACAGAAATCATGTGCAATTTCCCCTCAGCCTGACCAACTTGGCATTCAGAGTCCAAGCTCACAGGAGAGGGGCTGGGCCTTTCCAGGCAGTGACTGGAGTCAGAGGCTTCCCTTCTACTTACGGGAGAGAACTCCAGGAAT